TGTCCTTTCCCCTAAATACTAAAGCGGTATATTTTCTGATGAATGGGACATCTATGGATGCAACTCCCAGTAATGTTGATGGATGCCTTGCGTGTGTATCTTCTCGGGCTGAGATGTGAACTTATGCTAATGCAAACATGGCAGGTATTCTTCACATGCTTTGTGTATTTTATTTATATCACAAAATAGGTAGTCAAATGCAGTGTTTTACCAACTAGGAAAGCAAAATCCTTTTAGATGTCTCGTGAGAGTCTCCTGACCACTGAGTGCGAACCTGCCCCCTCTCTCTGCTCCCGGTCCCCTCTGTTGGCTGTCGCCCTTGTCAGGCAGGTCTTCATTGGCTCAACCCAGGAAGGAACCACTTCCAGGGTAAAAAGTCCTTCTGGGCTAGCTTTAAGTCCATGCCTGTACTGGTATAGAGCATTGTTCCCAGGGCTTTCTCCCTGGTGACTTTGTCCTCAGCAGTTCTCTGCTGTTCTGTTTAAATTCTAGCCCGTTTCTCAGGCCTTTAATAAGAACATAAGAACGGCCATACTGGGTCAGACCAAAGGTCCATCCAGCCCAGTATCCTGTCTACCAACAGTGGTCAATTCCAGGTGCCCCAGAGGGAGTGAACCTAACAGGTAATGATCAAGTGATCTCTCTCCTGCCATCCATCTCCATCCTCTGACCAACAGAGTCTAGGGACACCATTCCTTACCCATCCTGGCTAATAGCCATTAATGGACTTAATACTGAGTCTTATCACTTGGGCTTAAGCTGCTTCCCCAGCAGCCAGTGGGGGGACAAGGTCCCAACTCTAGGGACCCTACAAATAGCCACCACCTGTTACTTTCTTTAATAGTTGCTGCTGCTGCATTCCCTGGACTGCTTCCCATGTAGCCCCTTCCTCTTCATCCTTACCTCAGGGCTGAAGTTCTCAATTCCTCTTCTCCCTCACCAAATGCCAATTCCACCAGAACCCAACTTCTGGTTTTCCCTAGAGCTCCAGCATCAAGCAAGAAGCACCCTTCCTTACTCCTCTGGCCCCAGCCCAGAACTGACTAACTCAAGCCCTGCACTCCTTTTAACTGTGCCTGCAGTGCTCTGATTGGCTGCTTCCTTGCAGCCTTTCTAGGCAGGCCTGGAGGACTTACCTTCACCGCTCCTTTCCTGGGTGGGGTGAGGTAGGAGCAGGGGGCCTCAAAGGGCCTGGTACACCCCATCACGAAGTCTCTTTCCAGGACAATATGAAAGAGTTCAGAGCCTGGTAGCAGTCATGGACCTAGACTGGCTCGTTCATTCTTGTGTTCTGGCTCCTCAGGATGGCAATAAAGGAGAATTCAGCCTAGTCACCGAAAATAGAAGCACTGTCCTCCAATTGACCCTCCCCACGTTTGTGTGCCTGACTAATGCTTTGAAATAACAGAAGGAAAGACTGCTCTCAATGGATCCATGCGGCTGGGATGGGGGAGTGTATCCTACAACTAGCAAGGAGAAGGGCTCAGTAATCATATGTGGAAGAGCAAAGTACCTGCCACTCCCTGAGGAGAGAGGTTTGAAGCTGCCAACCTGAGACAGAGGGCCTGGCAGCTGGGTCGTCTTAAGGAAGCAGGGCTTTAAGAGGAAAGGTATGGCCCAAGGGAGAGAAGTCTTTGTTCCCAGAATGAGAGGAATCTGCCTATAATGATCCACGCTGAAGAGTATTGAGGGTGAAACTGCATCGATGCTTTTTGGTTCTGTGATTGCTGCCGTGCTCCTACAGGAACTGGGAATTAAGGTAAATGCTGACCTACAAAGAGGTGGCAAGTGGCTGCCCTGCTGGGACTGGCTTTACACAAACCCTCATGAGGCAGTGTTTAGGGGAGAGCCAACTAGTTCTAGATAGATAGCCAGCCTGAATGGATGTGGTCAGTAAAGCTGCTACTACTGTACAGTCCTTTTTATATTGAACCTGGGTGTGTTAATGGTTGGTCTTCTGGGGTGGCAGGATTGCCTTGCATCACTTAGTGAGCCACACACAGACTCCCAGTCACCTTAGAATCGCTGCTGCTAAGCTCCACAATGAGGGCCAAATCCTGCCTTATTCCAGTCAAATTCCCATGGTCTTCAACGGGTTTTCAGTGTAAATAAGGAGAGCAGGATTTGGCCCAGTTCTCTTTGACTAGAAGGAGGGTGCCTATAATATGTCAGTCCTTGGTGGCGGTGGGTGTAGAAGAGGCCCCATAAGGAATGTGGCGGATTGTGTAAGGAGAGCAGGAGCTCAGACCAACCAAATGTACATGCCAAATTCTGCTGACTTTAGCTTGTTTGTGTAGGCCTCCTGAAGTCCCAGGACTACTCGGCTGATCAAGGCCAGTGGGATTTGGCCCCAGATTGCTATTTAAGTGTAGGCCAGCCAGAACAACTCACTGGTCTATCAAAGTTCCAGACTCTTCCTGTTTTGCTGCGTAGTTCTTTCCATCATCTAGATTTTGCTTCCTTGCACCACAATGGAATCAGAAACCGAGGCAGTATCTCCAATACAAGCAGAAACTAATCCCACATACAGGGTGTTGGAGCCGAGGGAAGGGGATTTGATCTCTGTGCTCCGTGACTTAGGTATTTTTAATTATAGAATGTTTTAGCTATCGTTACATAATTTCCTGGCACAGAAGGCACATGACATGATGTTACAAAAACTTGTTTCATCAGCGCGTTCTGGCCTTAGGCTATTCTGCTTGCAGATAAAGAACGTATTTTATTTTCAACCAGGATAAGATGATACTGTGTCTAAAATTAGGACCAATGGAAATCAGGTGGTGATGACCAAGCGTATTGTCAAGTGATAAATATTTGTGGTTTGGGGTGTACGTCAAGCTCGGGTTGGGATAACTTATAGGCCTCCTGATATGCTTGGGGTACTGAAAGGTACAACAGAAGTATGTGTTCTGCTTTTAGTAGCCTACGGGGATTGGATTACCTTCCTCCTCATCACTTCACTGAATACCTAATGGATTTTTTCTTCCAAACACTAAGATCCCCCTCCAGTGTTGATCTGTGTCCCCACCCCCTGCCCTCTTCTGTACACATTCATTGAAGACAACTGTATTCCTAGAGGAGTTGGTTTCTGCTTTGATCCTGGTGAAAATTTGCCAACAGGGAGCATCTCACTAATCTTGGCTTTACTGCACTTCAATTTAATTAAAGTCAAATCTTCAATAGCTATCATTACAGCTTGCATAAAGGATGTAATCTTGTAGCAGTGGACACTGCATCATCAGCAAGTGCAGTTATTATGGTGCACAAACATCTTACTTTTGCTGTTACTCTATTGGCTTCTCATGTATTCAGTGATCCAGATGAATCTTGCACCTGTCTTTCTCTCTTTTTCTTGTTTTCTTTAGGACATGTTTGAGCCAACCTATCAGACCATGACCGCCACCTCTGTTCATCTTTCCCTGGGCTCCTCTCAGCCCTGCGGTGCACTATCACTATTATTCTCTGCATCTTCCGCGTTTCTACTATCATCCAGAACCTGTTCTCTTCCCCCTCCCCTTCAATCTCTCTACCTCATCCATCCTCCATCTCACTTCAAATCTCATTTTCATAATCTCTTTTCTATTTTGCAGTTCTGTCTGTCCTTGTGACTCAGCCAAGAACATTGACATAGCTTGTGTGAACGACTTTCTCTTAGATTAATTGTACAAATAAATACCCAAGGAGAGAAAATGGAATGGGGGTGAGGTTGTGTGTTGAAACCTGCAGCAGCCATTTTGTGTGTTACAAATGGCTGGAAATTGTACTGAACAGAGATGATGCGTACACACACTGAGCAGAAACCTGTAGCTGCTCCTGCTTCTCAGAAATACATGACAGACTTTAACCTTTTTGAGAGCGCTACGGTACTAACATACCCAACTAATAAATCATATAAAACCTGCTGCTACAATAAGTGCAGTTTTCAAATATAATGGACTAGGCTATTATTTTACAGTTAGCCACATGCCCGCTGCTGAAATTTGTCAAGTTCAGTCTCCCCTTATGTCTGAGTGCAACAACCCTAAATCAGATTAGAGGAAGTGAGGTTTGGCTTGGTTTAACACCAGATAAGCCTTTTAAGTTATGCTTTTAAAACGTAATCAGAAATTTACCTGAACTTATTTGGGGAAATGGTGCTTGCCAGGAAATATGGACTCCTCCAAATATTAATTGAAAACCACCATTTTTTTTAACCCCTGCAGTAGATGGGTGAAATGATTAAATAGGGGTCTCCTAGATGTGGTTGGGGAGCAAAAAAGGAATTTCCAAAGCTCATCTTCCTTGGCTGTAGCAAGGTGGAATACAGGGATGTTTTTGTTACAGATAGAGTCCAGCAGTGGGAAAACCCATATCTGAATAATTTTGTTTTTCAGTATTAACAGTGGAGGCTGGTAACAACTGAAAGTGGGAAGGCAAAGTTGAGCAAAAAGGCACACTCGGAGCCAAGGGACACTGCATGATCTTTGCTCAGAGCTATCTGACATGACAGTGGATAATGAAGATCTGCCACAGACTATTAGGGATTGTTGTCGTAAAGTGATTATTTTCCAATTTCTATAATTAAGGTTGGTGTGTGTGTGTGTGCACGTGTGTAAATATACAATTTTAGTTCCATTCACTTAGCAGATGTCCCCTGAAATATAACGAACGTATTGCCTTTGCATTTTCTTTGCTGCTGGAAGGGGTGTTCTGGCACTATAGCAAAAATATGTCCAGTTTTTAAATTCTTCAAGGCAAGGCTGTTACTTAAAAGGCAGATTTAAAAACCTCAATGCAAAATTAAGCATTATAAGTAATCTGTGCGTTTTCATCTTTTACTCATTCAGCAGTTTCTGCTTTTTCCTCTGTGCCCCCCCCCCCTTTTTGTTTTTTGTTAATGTATTACAAAAGAACCGGCTTTGGGCTATGGACAAACAATGGAAGGAACGAAGTTATAGTCAAAGCATCCCCCTTTCTTGTTTCCTACATGGACCTGCATGAAAAACCTCTTCAGTTCTTACCTTCACTGCTTCCCAGCTAGAGTTAATGAGGTGTTGTCGAAAGGGACCAAAGCCTGAAATCAAAGAAAGGTGCTATTAAACTGTGCTTGAACTCCAAGTACCATGAGTTGGATTATATGCACTCATGTACTTGTTCTTTTTGACCTTGATATTCTTGGTTGTGGACTATGAATCGACTGGGTAGACCAGCCTTTGTAATACTTAAGGGAATTCTATGACACCTCTACCCCGATATAAACAAATTCAGATATAACGCAGTAAAGCAGTGCTCTGGGTGGGGCTGCGCGCTCCAGCGGATCAAAGCAAGTTCGATATAACGTGGTTTCACCTATAATGCGGTAAGATTTTTTGGTTCCCAAGGACAGTGTTATATCGGGGTAGAGGTGTATCTCCCTTTTTACAGAGAACACATGCATCCACTTAGGGCCTGATTCTGCAATGCTTACTAAGTAATTCTTTCTTAGGTGGCTAGTGTAATTGAAGTAACTGGGTATGTTGGCGCCAACAGCGCTACTCTCACAATAGGAGACTAAGCCCCATCATTACCTACTAAATCAGTGTCAAGTGATTTAGAATAGTTTTTATAGGAAAAGGTGTTGAAATCAAATTGTGTTCTGTTCCATTTACTATCGCTACAGAATTCTGAGTGCTAGAGCTCATTGAAAAAGGTAAAGTATATTTCATGATCATGTTTTAATCAATTTTCTTTTAAATGTTTTGAAAAAAATTGCTTTGTTTTGGTAGGTAAAACCTCCCCCACTTTCTCTCGCTTATCTTTTTTCCATGTGGAAAAGGTGGGGGGAAAAAAGTGAAAAAGTGAAAGGGGTTGCCCATTGAGATGAATGGACAGTTTTTTGAAAAAAGAAAATCAATTTCTTGTTTAAAAATTTTCCATCAAAAATTAAAAAATGACCACTTTTCTCTTTGGTTGAAAAGGCATTTTGTCGGGAAAAGCATTTATTTAAAAAATTCCCCACTAGCTCTACTCGTCCCATTCTCTGCATCCCCATCCCAAATCACATCAGATAGTACAGGTATGCACTTGTGGATTGTAGGTAATGTCTTAGATCCTGGTCAGTGGAACAACTAATACAGATAAGCCTGTAAAGCTATTTTAATCCCCATTTTTTAAAGCACGTAATTTTTTAAATAAACCCAATGAAAAAAGAGTATCAAAAATGTAATAAAATATCGGCTGAAGTACATAAAATTTGCCCTTTTGGTCCCTAAAAAAGTACGTTACTTCTATGGAAGCTATACAGCCTTAGCTATAGTATAAAGGCTGCAGTGACGCTGTTAAAAAACTCAAATATTTTTTTAGGCCACCTGCATGGTACACCTGCCTTAAATTGCTTCCAGGGTTTGTCTTTTCCTTTTCCCTTTCTTTTTTATTTTTCTTCCTTTTTTCCCCCTTTTCTTCCTACAAATATCTAATCCTTTTTTAAAAATCATACTAAGCTTTTAGTCACAATGATAACTTGTGACAATGAGTTTCACAGGCTTCACTGTTGTGTGTGGTGGTGGTGGTGAAATAAAGGACATCCTTTCTTCCCGAAAAGGAAATATAGATCATTCCATGCTTGTTCCATTTCACTTTCAGTGAAGAATATAGTGGTACCAAATCAGAGTGAAACTCTGTTTATAGTAAAATGTAAATTCTGAACTGGGTCACAGTGCAACATGTAAATTACAGCTGTGGTCAGAAAGAACTATTGCTTAGGGTAAAGCTGTTTTATTAAAAGAAATCACTGTAAGAAGGTCTTACTGTATTGAAATAGTTAAGCCAACACAGAAATCAAATTGGCTGAAATATTATTAGGTAGTTGACAATAAAGCCGCGAGCAGCGCCAGCGAGTTTATATTACAAGCAGGTGAAAATGGGATTGAGGCACGCTATAATTCTCTATATTTCCTCTAAGTGGCACCTGTGCGTCTAACAGACACGTCATTCTAAAGCTATTTCAACAAGTGGAGTCTCTACCTAAACGACCATGTAAGGGGAAAAACTAACAAGGAGCTCATCATGGGCAAACATGTTGATGTAGCTTCAGCCTCATCCCTATGTCCTCAGATGCCCTATAGTGGAAAATTATCCAGCAACTCACATGTCAAGAGGGTAGCAGCATTCCTTAAGAGTTTTAACCTTTTAAAGCTCAAAAACCTCTCTAGTTGGTGGGTCTGCAGTTGTGATTCAGCATAACCTATCGCGAGCGAGAAAACTTTCAAATCTGGTGCCTTAACCTGCATGCTCAGGCGTGCTTATCTGGTATATTTAATTTTAATGGGCTAGTTCAGCAGTGTTGAGGCTGCTGTTCCTTTGGTGATTTTTCTCTTACCTTGCCATGAAACTGAGACCCTGAAATTTGCCATGTGTTGTTCTAATTCTAGACCCTGATTATGTGGCGGCATGATGCAACCTAGTTTTGCTGCTTTAGAGCTCCTTTTGGGTCAGGTTCATCTAACATTAGTTTATACTGCCGACAGCTACACAACTTGGACAGGAGAAGATGTCGTTAAAGATTTCTTTTTTAAAAGAGAGAAAGGGAGCAACTAACCAAACTGGATGGCAATAAAGGGGAGATATACATCTGATTTTCTTAGGAAGGCACAGCAGTGAGTTATTTTCCATTTGGAATTGTTACTATGACCAGTTGCTACTGTATTTCCCTCCAGGGAACCGTTTATGACCAAGATCAGGCATGTGTGCATTCCATGGCTGGCTAAAAGAGGAAGCAAATTTAAAAAAAATAATAAAACAAAAAACTTACCAGTCACAACCACAGTGTTGGAATTTGAATCCATGAAACTTGGCTCCAGAACGTGAAATCTGGTAGTCTTTCAGTTCTAAACAGTAGTATCGTAATTCATACATCTGTAGTAATCTGCCTGATTTGGAACACCCTTTTGTTCCAAACCGTTCTGAAACATGCAGGTTCCTATTGGACAGTGAAAAAGACTTCATCAGACTGAGACCAGTTTGGATTCATGTGACAGACATGATTTGGGAATCACATAACTCTTTCAAAATGTAAATTATGATGTCTCTGTTTAGAGAGAGGTCTGAGCAGTACTGCGTGAAGTTTGCTTTCTCTTTTCTCTTTTTCTTTTTTTAGAAGTCTTAAAACTGTGTTTAAGAAACAAAGAAGAGTCTGAAAAACAATTTTTTATAAAATGTTCAGCTACATTTTAGATCAGAAAAATGTTCATGTATAAACTAATTGGACTAAGTTGTTACGTCTGTATACTTGTTACAACTTATTTATAGTACAGTTGTAATCCACTGGGTTTTTCTCCCCTTAATTAAGCAGAGTGACTAACAACAAATACATATCTATCCATTTCCACCCCAATTAAATTTTCTTTCTCATTGTCTTAAATGTTTTGTTTGCAAAAACCCACATATATTTATAGATACCCACTCCTCACTATAGCTCAGAGTAATTATCTGACTATCTAGCTAATCTAACTTGATTTTGATACTATGCTCAGCACCATAATGTCTGAGTTCCTTACATATTTTAAAATAAACATCAAACAGACGAATTCAATGTATGGTAAGTTGGATGCAAGCAAACAATATGGGGTTTAATGTGTTTTAATATGGGTAAATGTATACATCTGGCAACAAAGAATGTAGGCCATACTTCTAGCATAGGGAAATCTATTCTGAGAAGCAGTGATTGAAAAAGATTTTGGGGTCATGATGGATAATCAGCTGAACTTGTTGTGTAATACAGTGGCCAAAAGTGCTAATGCAATTCTTGGAAGCATAAACAGGGGTGTAGTGAGGCGGTGTGGCCTCCCTCCAAGCCAGAGGGGAGGAACCACTCTCTGTGCCCAGGTAGACGGAGTCAGGCTGGATGTGCCCCTCCCACCAGAAGTTGAGAGGTGGGACAGGAAGTACAAAAGGTGGAACCTCCAGCTTCGTTAGAGCCCAGCCAGGGAAAGAGACGGATGTGCCTGGCTCGTGGCAGGCCTCTGTCGCTGCCCTGACCCAGGAGGAGACCGACTCTGCAGGGGAGCTGCCGAGGGAGACAGACGCTTCTCCCCAGACCTCCACTGCTGGAGTGTAGGGTTGCCAACTTTCTAATCGCACAAAACCGAATACCCTAGCCCCGCCCCCGCTCACTACATTCCCCCTGGCTGGCTTGCTCTTCCCCACCATCACTCACTTTCACTGGGCTGGGGCAGGGGGTTGGGGTGTGGGAGGTGGTGAAGTCTCAAAATGGGGGTGCAGGCTCTGGGGTGGGGTCAGAAATGAGGGGTTCAGGGTACGGGAGGGGGCTCCAGGATGGGGCAGAGTTGGGGTGTGGGAAGGGGTGAGGGCTCTGACTGAGGGTGCAGGCTCTGGGGTGGGGAGGAGGGGTTTGGGGTAGGGCAAAGTTGGAGCCCGGGGAGGAGGTGGCTGCGTGCTCAGATGCCGCCCACCACCTCTGTGCCCTGGCAAATTGCGGGAGTTGTAAGTTTTGCTGCAGCCACTCGCACTCGGAGTCCCCTTACCATGCCTTCCTATTTTCCCAGACATGTTCGGCTTTTTGGAAATTCCTCCCGGACGGGGATTTGAGGACCAAAAAGCTGGACATGTCCGGGAAAATCCGGATGTATGGTAACCCTATCTCCACCGTGGCGGGGGCTGAAGCAACTTCCCCAGCAGCAGCCAGAGCCGGGGGGGGCGGAAGGGAGGAGGGGGAATGCGGGGTGCTCAGGGGAGGGAGCGGAGTTGGGGTGGGGACTTTGGGGAATGGGGGTGGGGAAGGGGTGGAGTTGGGGTGGGGCCACTGCCCCCCTGGAGTGTCCTTTTTTTTTCAGTGTTGAAATATGGTAACCCTAGTATAAACAGTTAGTAAAACTTTTCCCTATGATACTCTGCGTGTAACCACAACCTACCAGAGTCCTCTTCTAGTCAGGATCATAAAAAGTTATGCAATTTTTAAAGTTTTTCATCAGTTCTCTAAGCTTAATAAAGATGATCTTTAAACCTCTCTTGAAATTCCAGCATAAATGTTCTACCGGGCAATATAGTCTATTTAACTTGCTCTGTGGTAAATCTCATAACTACTCTGTATCTGTGACAATATCTACCTTGTAGGTGTGCACTGAGGACTAGTTGTACTGTGCTTTGAAGCCATGAAATGCTAATGTTTGTTGTTACAGATATTCTAGTGTGATTCAACTTTGTTCAGTAGAACGTATATTCATGCTGAAATAACAATTGACCGGGCATGCTCAAGATCTACATGCTATTTTTTTTTACAGTGTTCATGAAATAGGTAACTGATATCTGCAATCCATATAGCAGAGAAGGAGGTCATCTGTGTGTATTTTCACTTATTTATAATCTTTCATGGAAGGTTCACTGGCCATATGCCCTAAAACCCAGGACACTTCAGCTCGGAATTGTCTTCACCAGTTTCACAAATGACTCTGATAAGAGGCTGCTGATTTCTGAGAATGAATTAATAAAATTGTTGAGGCTTGTGATTTCATGTATTAGTCCATGTTAAAAGAATGTTAAGGTTTCATTAAAATGACAGTCCTATAACGGTTTATTAAAATTTCAGTTTTTATTAAAAAGAACAGGAGTACTTGTGGCACCTTAGAGACTAACAAATTTATTAGTCTCTAAGGTGCCACAAGTACTTCTGTTCTTCTTTTTGTGGATACAGACTAACACGGCTGCTACTCTGAAACCAGTTTTTATTAACTTAAGTGTTCCTCCCACTTGGTGTTATATGCCTGTCTATACATTGATAGGAGTGTTGCAGTATTTAAGTGTAATATACATACAACTACAGCACATGCCCCATACACAGAAATGGAAGATTTCATAAATGAGTTAGTAGTCTTTCTAATGAGGCCATGTTTGTAGAGGCTTTTTCAGCAATGGGAACCTGTCTCCCTTACAACTTTGTGAGCTGAAGCTAAGGTTACTCCCTAACCTCTCCTGAAAGTCTCATCCCAGCCCTGACATTTCCACTGGCATGGCTGCACACGCCGCTGTAGCAATACAGAGCCAGGGCCTGGGCTATTTTATGTCCATGCAAATCCAGCTTCCCATCCGTAATGAAGAGACCAAGCCTCGGCTCCGAGAAGGCAAATCCCACGCAGGGCGGGCTCGGTTACCCCCTGACTGACTACACCAATACCACGGCCCTGCCATTCAGCTTGAGGTAAAAAGCAGCTCAGCTGGTGAGTGGGGGCGGGGCAGGGCTGTGCTGTGCTGTGCTGGTGGGGCGGGGGGGGAGAAGGGGAGGTCGGGCGGGCAATAGGGCCCCGCAGGGGGCGGAGGAGGCCGCTCGGAGGAAGTGATGGAAGCTGAGGAAACAGGAAGAGCCGCGGCCGGTAAGAGGGAGGAAGAGACCCGGCGCCCCCCGCCCCCCACAGCTTCCCGCCCCCCGCACGGCACTGCCCCCCCCCACGGCACTG